AAAATTCTAAACATGTCCATGAACTTACCGAATTGCTTGTCTAATCTCTGTTTCTACACTCTGTGAGGATACGGGAGGGTCGTGTCATCGTTCGTCACAGCATGGGCATTTTCATCATTTTCTACCCCTGTGTTACAGCACAATCGCTTCTACCCTCTCCTATGTAGCAGCATTGTGCTGCGACACACTTGCTTCTGTCTTCTACTGTGCTGCGACACACTTGGTTCTGCCCTCTTTTCCATCTTCATGTTTTTCCCTTGTTTCTCTTTCTTTGCTTGCTTCCTTCTACTCCTTACCACTTCTCAGCATGATAGCATTGACTCTCTCCTTCGAATTCTTCTTAGTATCACTCGGCAATGTTCCTTGATCTCTTCCCGCTAAAATAATGTGGATTTGCCCCATTTGAGTTTCAAGATTTTTTATGGAAGCGGATTGGTTTTGCAACAAAACTTCATACTTTTGGAGTTAAGCTTCATTCTTGTAAAATCTTTTTCCCAACTCCTCCATGAATTTAGTGACCACACTCTCCATATTAGATCTCTTCTCTTGAGGTTGGAAGCCCGGTGGTGGTTTGTGCTCATTATTGTTTCTCCACGAAAAAATTGGATTATTGCGCCATGCTGGAGTGTATGTGCTAGAGTACGGATTCCCTTGCCCTCGTTGAAAGTTGTTAACATAGTTAGCCTGTTCCGGTTAAGCAAATGGATTTCCTTCTTGACAATCCTTAGATGAATGACTTCCTGCACAAAGTTCACAAGTTAGAGAAGACGATTCAATAGTATTTACCTTTAGGGCAACTCCCAATTGCTCTTGGATGGTTGAGAGTTGAGTGGCCAATGCGGTGTAGCCATCAACTTCGTGCACTCCCATTACTTTCCTTATTGAATTTCTCTCTAAAGGCCTCATGTAATTATTGCTTGCCATTTCTTCAATCAGATTATAAGCCTCCTTCGGTGTTTTGTTATTCAAAGCTCCCCCACTTACAGCATCAATCATCACTTGTATATTTGGTAGCAACCTATTGTAAAACGTCTGCACTTGTGACCATATTGGCAGCCCATTGTGAGGACATCTCCATAAGAGATCCTTATATCTCTCCCAAGCTTCATAGAGTGACTCCATATCTTGTTAGAAAAAATTAGTGATGTCACTCCTCATCTTAGCAGACTTGACAGGTGGGAAATATTTTGTAAGGAATGCTTGAGCTAACTCATTCCATGTAGTAATACTTCCTGATGACAGAGAAATCAACCAAGGCTTAACTTTATCCCGAAGAGAGAATGGGAAAATTCTAAGCCAAATTGCATCATCGGATACTCCATTATGTCTGAACGTGTCGCATAGCTCCAAAAAGTTGGCAATGTGCAGGTTGGGATCATCATTAGGAAACCCTGCGAATTGAACCAAATGTTGTATCAATTGAATAATTGTTGGCTTTATTTCAAAAGTATTCACTTGAAGTGGTGGCCTCATGATGCTAGAATAGCACCCTTCAACAGTAGGACTAGAGTAGTCCTTCAATGCTCTTTGGACTACTACCACTCCACCAGTTACATTGCCCCTTGGGATTTCATCATTCTCTTGATTACTCATATTTCGATTTATACTTCCCTTGTCAGCTAATGCTTTTTCTAAGTTGGCTTGCCTCTTTTCCTTTCTCAACTATCTCACTATTCTATTTATCTCAGAATTGAAAGGATTAAGATCACCACTGCCTTTTGAACGTAAGCTATCCAAGATCTAAAACAAAAAAAAAAAAAAAAAAAAAAAAAAAAAAAAAAGACCAAAACAACAAAATAAAAATTAATTTTAAAACAAAGATAAAACAAATCAAACTAGCAACTAAATATTTCGTAGTGATATTGAAAATAAATAATTCCACAGCAACGGCACCAAAAACTTGTTGTGAAATCCTCAAATGTACAAATCGTGCAAGTAATAAAGTGTAAGTATACGGGTGTCGAATCCAAGGGAATTACTACTATCAATTACCAAAATAAACCATCCTATTACCTTTGATTAATCCAAATTTTATCAACAAAAATCTAAATTAAAAATAAACAATTGAAATTAAAAGAAAACTGAAAAGAAAACAACTAAAATAAATCTTTGGGTTTAAAGCAAGATGACTAGACTTAGGGCATAAATTTTACGCTAACTCTTATTCATATGTATTGATCACGTATGCTAATTTCATTAAGCTCTTCCTACAAGTCAAACTCTCTAAATTTCCAATAATTTTCTCTCAAACAATTATCAAATTAACTCCTAATTACTAACCCGAATTATCTCTAATCAGATTTAAGCAATTCTCTATGGAGTTTACCAGAACCTCACAAGTCGCAGTAACCTATCTCTAGTGTTCGCTCAACCTATAGTTTTACTACCATAGACCAACTAAGTATAATCTCTCGATCTCAACTTAGTCCATTCATTCCTTCAATTTTTGGGCCCTTAAGAATCAAAAGCATTAGGCATAATAATAAAACTTAAAAAATCTTAATAAAAATTAACATAAATTATTCAACACATAATCAAGAGATTGGGCTACATCTTAGCCCTATAGAATAAATTTAGTTCATAATCAACATGAAATAAACAATCATCTTTATTAAAATAAGAAACATGAGTTCAAAAAAGAAATAAGAAGACTTCTCTATATTGCAAATCAAAATCTTTAGAAATTCTGTCACTTTGATCTTCTCTTGCATTAGCCTCCTCTAATTCTCTCCAAAGAATCTCCAAAATAATACTAAAAGACTTCTATTTATGAGGATTAATTAAGGTTTATTTTCCTTAATTCTATTTAGTTTAGGAATCTTACCCCATATTTTTCTAATAAAAAATGGAAGAAAAATTCCTAACTGTCGTGACTATGCCTCCACACTGTGCTATGGCATGGTTGATTTTGGACAGAGTGTGTTGCGGCATAATGATAACTTCCTCTTCTTTAGTTCAAATCTCGCATCATTCCTCAATACTCTAGAGATGATTATTTTTAAGCATGATAACGATGAAATCTAGAGAAGTGGTAAACATATGAAATGTACCCCTTTGAATCAGATTTCCAACAGTCAAAGAACCATCTTAATCCGAGATCTACAAATTGAGTTATTGTCAAAACACCAAGGTGTGCTTAAACTAAAGCGTAATCTAAAATCTCATCTTTACTTCAAAACTCCATAACTTCTTCAATTCAACTCTGAGTCTCGATCCGTTTGTTTCTATTTGTCACTCTTTTCGTTGTCGACATGATTTTTTATCTGAGCATAACATTTAGCTCTAATAACCTGAAAAACACTCAAACACACCGGTGATCCCATAAAAGACAATTATGAAAATATTAAGAAACTTTACCAAATTTAATCTAATTTCTCACCAATAATCTTCATAAACCACTAAGTAAATGTGTATTTTTAAGCTCTTGCCATATATTGGGATAAATTAAAGAAGCAAGTTACCAGTTACGTCAAAGATCTGATAAGATTATGATCAAGTCGTGGTAGAAATATGCACGTAAAGTATCCCTAAACATAAAAGATGTACGGTAGAATAAAATGCATGCATAAACTTCAGAATCAGTGAGAGAAATAGATTAATTGAACTGTTGTTGATCAACACAATAGCCACATTTCACATGAATAAGTGAACGACATGCCTGTCTTTTTGCATGTTTAGACGAACTTGGGTTGTCTACGTATTAATGACAACAGCCGTATATGAAAATTTCGCCATCAATAAAAACATGTGAACGACAAGTCGTCACACTGTAATGGCCTATCTTCCAACTAGCAAATGACACATTGTTTATACTTCATACCAAAGAACTGCAGTGTGAATCAAAGTAGAAGTGGAGTTTGAAGGGTAATGAAAGTATTAACCGTATTCGCAGAATATGGTATGTGATCACTGGAAGACAAACGAATAGTCCACAACCGATGATCCAAAATGCTTGCTGTTTTACGTCGAACTTCTACATTGGCGGGGGCTGCAAAGCGTGGCCCTTTCAGAGTTTCTGTTAGTAAAAGAAGAGAGATTAAAACAGACAATTTAAAGCATATACCAATTAAAACAAGCTAGTTAAACAAGATGAAATGTGTTACCTAGTTTCCATCATTACAATTGATGATCTTGAGAAATCCTTCGCAAATAGAGCCTTTTGGTTGTTCATATTATCATATACATGCCTTTAAGGACATTTTTTGTTGGTATCGAATATTACAACTAATTGTTATATAATAATATTATTAAACATATTAGCAAAGGTTACAGTTTTTCTTTGAACTTTAGTCGACAGTTTCACAGTAGGAGCTGGTGAGGAATCCAAAACATATATCGACTCAATCCTTTAACGGGTGGACCGTCGGAGTTTCTAATAATTTCTCTTTATTAACAGATTATTACCAACTGAACAAGAGATTATACTCCTGGGATCCCAAGGTATGTCTGTCCACATGTGTAAATATCTCAACATTAAATTAATTTCTTAAAATACGACCGTACATGTTTACAAATTTGAGTGAAGAATATGCATATTCAAGAGTTAGCATTAGTGGTGTTATAGATTTTATAAGAAATCTTATTCATTAAGTAAATTTTTAAATCATTAAATTGATAACATTTTGAACAATTGCTTAATTTATAATTGCCATACAAGATTAATGTGCCTTGAAAATATCATTTGTTTTAGATCTAACCCTATCTTCTCAAAATATATATTAATATTGTGATTCAGAAGTCATGTCAAACTGATCATAAATTCATGGTAATTCTAGATTTAGCTAGTCTGTCGATTTTGAAAATTATAGGAGCAATAGACTATTTTCTATTGCATGTTTAATATCAATATTATTAGTAAAAGGATTGTAGTAATATTTAATAATTACTCTTATCTACAACATGTCATGAATGTCACCTTGTGTCTCTCTTCGACATTTCTTTTAAATACCATTCAAATTTCAAATTATAGCACAATCAATCGCCATTCGGCTTCTTCAAACATGTCCTCAACAACATCAACATCAATTGCGCACGAGAACTCCTCCTTCGACCACGCTCAAAATTTAGAGCACCAAAGGCAAAAACAAAATGGAAACTTCACAAATCATGAAAATGTTTCCTTTAATAAAACTGTAGTTAAGCATCATCTCATCAACCTCGCCAATACTTGCAGAGCTACAGAAGAGGCTTATCCCTTCATTCTTTCATTTAACAAATTATCATATAGTGTCAAAGTTCATCAAAAATTGGCATTTTCATTTTTGGGAAGGGGCAGACGCGGCTTACAAGAGTGTAACAACAACAAAGTTTTACTAGATAATATTTCGGGTGAAGCACGAGAAGGTGAAATTATGGCCATTCTTGGTGCTAGTGGATCTGGTAAATCAACTTTGATAGATGCTCTTGCAGGCCGCATAGGGAAAGAGAGCTTGAAAGGAACCATAAGTTTGAATGGAGAAGTGTTGGAGTCTCGACTTTTGAAGGTAATATCTGCTTATGTGATGCAAGATGATCTTTTGTTTCCAATGTTAACTGTACAAGAGACGCTAATGTTCTCAGCAGAGTTCAAACTTCCTCGATATTTCACGAAGAAAATGAAACAAGCAAGAATTCAGGCTCTAATCGATCAACTAGGACTACGAAGTGCGGGGAATACTATCATCGGTGATGAAAAGCATAGAGGCATATCAGGAGGCGAGCGGAGGCGCGTTTCAATCGGAGTTGATATAGTTCACGACCCCATCCTCTTGTTCCTGGATGAGCCCATATCAGGGCTAGATTCCACCAGCGCATTTATGATTGTTAAGGTCTTGAAGCGGATTGCAAAGAGTGGAAGCATTGTGATCATGTCTATACACCAACCCAGTTACAGAATTTTGAGCTTACTGGACCGTTCTGTCTTTCTCTCACGTGGACAGACTGTGTACAGCGGAGCATTAGCTGGTCTTTCCCACTTCTTTACAAACTTCGGGCATCCACTTCCTGAGAACGAGAACGAAACCGAGTTTGCTCTTGATTTGATTCGCGAACTCGAAGAAATTCCAGGCGGAATTACCAGCCTCGTTAATTTCAACAAGGCATGGCAAACCCTCATGAAACATGCAAATAAGGTCGATGATCAACCCAAAGTTTCACTCAAATATGCAATGAAGACAAGCATTGCGAAAGGGAAACTAGTCTCCGCTGGTACATCCACAAATAACTCAAATCAAACATCTTCAGTTCAAACCTTTGCTAATCCTTTTTGGATTGAAATTATCGTCATTTCCAAAAGATTGCTTATTAACTCTAGAAGAATGCCTGAACTATTTAAGATTCGGTTAGGTGTAGTTTTTTTTACAGCATTTGTCTTGGGCACCCTTTACTGGCGACTCAGCAATTCCCCACAAGGCACCGAAGGAAGATTAGGGTTCTTAGCTTCTGCAATGACCACCATACTCTACATTTGTGCGCACGAAATCCCTGCATATCATCAAGAACGATACATTTTCATAAGAGAAACAGCTTATAATGCTTACCGCCACTCATCCTACGTCCTTGCTCACTCTCTAGTCTCCATTCCTTCAATGATCATCCTCTCTTCTGCCTTTTCTGCATCAACCTTTTGGGCGGTTGGTCTTGCTGGCGGGTTCTCCAGATTCTTCTTCTTCATCATCACAATCTTTGCGACATTTTGGGCTGGGAGTTCATTTATGGCATTTTTCTCTGGACTCGTCACTAATTTGATCGTGGGTTTCACCAGTGTGGCAGCAATTCTGGGTTACTTTCTAATCTTTAGTGGATTCTATATCTGTCCTCGCCAAATACCTTTCTATTGGAAATGGTTGCATTATGTTTCTCTAGTGAAGTATCCATATGAAGCTGTTTTGCAAAATGAATATAGCGATACAAGGAAGTGCTTTGCGAAAGGAATTCAACTTTTTGATAATACGCCATTCGTGGAACTCACTGTGGCCACGAAGATGAAGCTATTGGAAAGCATGAGCAGTGTGTTGGACAAAGATAAATTATCGAGCTCAACCTGTCTGAGCACTGGGGTGCAAATACTGAAGCAAATTGGGGCATCAGATTTCAATAAATGGAATTGTATTTTGATTACTATTGCCTTTGGAATCCTATTTAGGGTTCTGTTTTTTCTCTCTTTGTTGTTTGGAAGCAAGAACAAGAGGAGGTGAATAATTTTTTTATGTATGGCGCAAGGAATTTTTCTTATATGAAACTTTTCCCAAATGGGATAGCTTCATAATAATATATTTAAGTGTATATAATCTTTGTTTTTGATAAAATTAATTAGAAGCACGATTTGACTTTTAGATGTTTGTAATCTTATAAGTTAAATTAATAGCTAACGGCTTTTTCTCATCCAAATAATGGTTTAATGACATTTTCTCACCCACAGACTTTTAAAATATTATTTTATTACCCAAATTTATATTTTAGTAGCGAACAAAGAACAAACTTGTTCAGGCTGTTAGGGTTTTTGAAGAGGAGAGGTCAATGAGTCTTTTGGTGATGGAATATTAGATTTTGATAGTTGGGATTGATCAGAATTTGACTTAGGAGGGGCAACTGTGCAAACCCTAATTGCTCGATTGCCGACGATTGGTAGGGTCGGTGAGAGTAGGGTTTGAGGAGTGATGATTGGGGAAGAGAATGTTGTGGTGTGGGGTTGCAACGATGCCAGAATTGGAAACGGAGTATAAATTTGGGTAATAAACTAGTATTTTAAAAGTTTGTGGGTGAAAAAGTTATTAAGCCATTATTTGGGTGAGAAAAAGTCGTTTACTCTTAAATACCCATTTCTTTTTCTTCTTCTACCTTGTGCTCTTTTGTGATCACGGTTTAAGTAATTAAATTAACCCATTCCTTGTTTCGAAGGCAAGTTTTTCTCAAAGCAAGAGCAATATCAGGAGATTATATTTGGAGGATCAAAGTGTAGGACTTAATTATAAGGGCGGCAAATACTTTAGAAAATTGCATTTAGAGCCATAGATTAACAACCAGCGAACCAGTACCAGTAAGGGTGATTGGTGAAAAAAAGTAAATACTTGTGAGGCCAAAGTATTTAAAGAAAAATTTAGGGATGCTATAGAACAAATACTTTCTATTGCTTTTACTACAAACTCACTGGTCTCTCACCCCGTTCCCCTTTTTTCACACACAAAATTCAATTCTATTGATTATTTGATTTCAATTCTCAGGCGCAAATTAACAATGCCCCACGTCATAGCTCTACACAGTTGCAACATGGTTAGTTTTGCAGCACAACGGCCGCAGCGAAGTAAAGCAAAGAAGATGAAGCAGGTGAGGACAAAAGAAAAGCAGAGCAGCAGGAATGCGGGGTTTGGCATCGAGAAAAAGGAACCGTTGTGGCGATGCGTCGAAGGTTGTGGTGCATGCTGTAAGCTTGACAAGGGTCCTGCCTTCCCCACTCCGGAAGAAATTTTCGATAACCCAGAAGATGTTAAGGTTTCTTTTCATTTTTCACACCCATGCACCCTTTCTGTTTGAGAATATGAATGTGAACCCTCAAGACCCACTTCAATATGGTTGTTAATTGTACTTTTTCAGTTGTACAGAAGCTTGATTGGTCCCGATGGATGGTGTATAAATTATGAGAAAAACACACGCAAATGCTCTGTTTATCCTGGTACGCATTTCCCTTTGTTCTTCACTAGCGTTTACATTCATATTCTATTAATTTTTTTTATATTTCAGAACGTCCATATTTTTGTCGCGTGGAGGCGGGCGTGTTCGAGTCATTATANAATTTATATTTTAGTAGCGAACAAAGAACAAACTTGTTCAGGCTGTTAGGGTTTTTGAAGAGGAGAGGTCAATGAGTCTTTTGGTGATGGAATATTAGATTTTGATAGTTGGGATTGATCAGAATTTGACTTAGGAGGGGCAACTGTGCAAACCCTAATTGCTCGATTGCCGACGATTGGTAGGGTCGGTGAGAGTAGGGTTTGAGGAGTGATGATTGGGGAAGAGAATGTTGTGGTGTGGGGTTGCAACGATGCCAGAATTGGAAACGGAGTATAAATTTGGGTAATAAACTAGTATTTTAAAAGTTTGTGGGTGAAAAAGTTATTAAGCCATTATTTGGGTGAGAAAAAGTCGTTTACTCTTAAATACCCATTTCTTTTTCTTCTTCTACCTTGTGCTCTTTTGTGATCACGGTTTAAGTAATTAAATTAACCCATTCCTTGTTTCGAAGGCAAGTTTTTCTCAAAGCAAGAGCAATATCAGGAGATTATATTTGGAGGATCAAAGTGTAGGACTTAATTATAAGGGCGGCAAATACTTTAGAAAATTGCATTTAGAGCCATAGATTAACAACCAGCGAACCAGTACCAGTAAGGGTGATTGGTGAAAAAAAGTAAATACTTGTGAGGCCAAAGTATTTAAAGAAAAATTTAGGGATGCTATAGAACAAATACTTTCTATTGCTTTTACTACAAACTCACTGGTCTCTCACCCCGTTCCCCTTTTTTCACACACAAAATTCAATTCTATTGATTATTTGATTTCAATTCTCAGGCGCAAATTAACAATGCCCCACGTCATAGCTCTACACAGTTGCAACATGGTTAGTTTTGCAGCACAACGGCCGCAGCGAAGTAAAGCAAAGAAGATGAAGCAGGTGAGGACAAAAGAAAAGCAGAGCAGCAGGAATGCGGGGTTTGGCATCGAGAAAAAGGAACCGTTGTGGCGATGCGTCGAAGGTTGTGGTGCATGCTGTAAGCTTGACAAGGGTCCTGCCTTCCCCACTCCGGAAGAAATTTTCGATAACCCAGAAGATGTTAAGGTTTCTTTTCATTTTTCACACCCATGCACCCTTTCTGTTTGAGAATATGAATGTGAACCCTCAAGACCCACTTCAATATGGTTGTTAATTGTACTTTTTCAGTTGTACAGAAGCTTGATTGGTCCCGATGGATGGTGTATAAATTATGAGAAAAACACACGCAAATGCTCTGTTTATCCTGGTACGCATTTCCCTTTGTTCTTCACTAGCGTTTACATTCATATTCTATTAATTTTTTTTATATTTCAGAACGTCCATATTTTTGTCGCGTGGAGGCGGGCGTGTTCGAGTCATTATATGGAATTGGCAAGAAGAAGTTTAATCAGGCGGCATGCAGGTGACACCTTCTTATCCTAAATGTTATCTTATGTTGCCTAGATTACTCTTCTCTTCATGCTTGTGTTGCTTGCAGTTGCTGCAGGGACACCATCAAGGAAGTTTATGGTACCCATTCCGAGGAATTAGCTAACTTCAATCGCTCAATACGCAGCTGTGATGCTTGAGTTAGTTTGATTTGCTGTTCTTGAAGCTGGTACCTGCTTAATTGTAATTAAGAATACGAGCTTAGTCAAAAAGGTATATGTTAATTCTTTGCAAATGATAGTGTACCAAAAATGAGATTCTGCAATAATATTAAGTCTTCTTTCATTCGCAATTCAAATTAGTTTTTACAATGTCATGTCCAATTTTATTTAGTTCTATATAACCTTAATATGAATCTAAATAGATGGTTTGGTGGTCATAGCTTTAAAAGAGTGCTTGAAGCGTAAGACAGCCACATGTAGTTACCATCTTAAACATGGTACTAGTGTACCAATTCTGTTAGAACCGTCATTCAATATAATGAACCGTCATTCAATATAATTTAGCGGGACTTACAAAATACAAGATAGATTTCTTTTACACAATCTTGGATCTTGATTTCTCTCTTTTGATCTCTCTTCTTCTTATCCAAATGGATAATTCAGTCTCTCATATTTTAACCACCACCATGCTGCTGCTCCTTTTAGCCTTCTTTGCAATCACTCCTACAGCTGAATCCTTATGCTCTGAAACCATGGCCGCCACTCTCTTCTAGTGGTTTCACCCTCTTCGCTCATGCCCTTCAACAGTACAACCTAACCACCAACTCCGCGGCCAACACCGCACGGCTGACCTACCTTGCACTACCAGACAATGCCCTAATTAACCTTCCCCTTGATGCATACTCTGTCCGCGGCCTGGTGCCAAATGCTGGAGCCTTCTATTACCAGTCCCTCCTCACTATCCCTGACAACACCACCCTGCCTACCCTCTGCAACACCACTCTCCTTGTTGAGACTAACAGTGAAAGGGTTTCTTTCAAAGATGTTTCTTCTTATTGCACCAATCTTTACATTAATGGGTCCTGCATTGTTCATGGTGTTGAAAGACCACTATCATCATCCATGGTTCATCAAGACTTTGCAAAGGCAAGAATGGAGACTAAGTCATCTCCAGTGTCCTCAGGACGTTAAGTGGAACATTTGAAGAGTATGCTCGATTCATTCACCAAGCAAATGGTCCAACTCATCTTGATGAGAATGGGGAACCTGGTAGCACTCGCTGAATCATGTTTGATGTGACCAGTCTGCCCTGTTAACGTGTCCTTTGTGTCTTTTGTTTGGGATTTGGATCAGCTAGGATGAAGATCAGTGTTTTGAAAGTAAATGTTGGCTCTGTATGATCTGGAAAATATTAAGTACTTTCTTTCGAATGTAGTATTCTCCCTAGCCCCTAACCATATTGTATTGCGACTCGATATGCTACATAGGATCTTGATGGAGTCCCTAAATAGATTATGGCTAATGGACCTCGATAAAACTTAAGGCTTCAAAATCCCCGTATCGTGAAAATATATTTGTTTCAATAGATGCATGACATCAATGGCAACTTCAAATTATTGTGCAGGGGTTGAGTTGCCCCGATACGGTTTTCCTCTTTTCTGGCGCCGTTGCTGCGTCAGGGCATTTCTTTTCCGGTGGTGTTCGATTGCAGACATGTGTACTTTTTTTCTGTTCATCTTGCGATAATTGTGTAATTTGTATTGATGGCTAGCACTAAAATCCACAAGTAAGTGGGTAGTTGGCAGTGGGTATAGTGGCTAATGGCCTAATCCTACTAAGCGTAACAAGTTCTTGCCGTCTTGTTAGTGGCCTAAATCCTATTAGGCATACCAATAAGTTCTTGTCACTCTAGAAACAGGATTATGTAACTATTTTGATAATGTTATCCATTCATCATTCATAATTAGATTAAAATCTTAATTTTTATTGTGTATTATTCAAGAAATCAATCCATGATGCTATGATTTCGTTAACATGATAGGCATTTTATGCCATTGAAAAGAACATTGACATTTGAACGTTCCAATTCGTATGAGTTAACTGAGAATCTTCAAGAGTAAAGACTTTTTACCACCCAAGGTTTGCCTCAATGAATTTCCCACCCACAAGGCTTCAAAATACCATTTTCAAACCCAAAGTTTATATTCCGTTATTACTCAAAGTCAATTCTGATGGCAAAAATTCTCTCTATCACCGCCATTTGAACCTCCAGTCTTCTCTTTACAAAATTTCTCTTACTTCGACACCTAATTTTTCGTCAATCGTCGATCGTCGACCATCATAAAGCTAAGGTTTCATGTTCTTAACTGATTTCCAGAGGCGAATATTCAATCGGTTACTACCATTTGATCCATCGGCCTCCGTTATACAAAACTCCTCTTATCCTGGCTTCCAAATGCCAACTGAGAAAGTGAAGTATGCTTTGGATATTAACGGAATATAAACTTTTTCTCATTACATAGAGGAGCTTTATTACCAGTACAATGAGCAGGAAGCGAGACCAACATATAGCTTCGGCCAAGATGAAATGGGATTTTGTGAAGGAATTTTGAGTTACTGGCCTTGCTTGTACCAGGAAGCTCGGCGACAAGCAGCCTATGTTGAACAATGAACTAATAGGCAAAGGTGTGAAAATCCTTTATATACTTCAATTAACGAAGAAAAGAGGAGCCTTCTCCCCCCAATTTCTTTTTCTTTCTTCTCATTAGTGTCATTAAGATTTAAGAGTGAGCCCAGGCATGAATATCTGACTGATAGCTGTAATAATAGTCCAAGGATGTGATTCTGGACCTCTTTCCGTTTACACTATTTCATCTATGTAGACCTAATTGTTTTATTTTCTGCTCTCCTAATTAATCACATTAGCTGGATTTTAATTAACATAATTAACTTATTATAGACGAGATAACTACCTGAACCACCAGGGAACTTGGAAGAAAAACATTTATAATCTATCTTTTCATGGATTCATTATCGCCATCCACAACTTGATTTGTCAAAATTTCATAATAGACCTTGGCATTCACATAAGTGACAGCCTATCTCACTCCTATAAACTAAAGCTTGAGTTTTCAGAGTTTTCATTTTGCTTCGGAAATTTAAACCCCACGTTCCTACATTTTGCTTCAAACTTTCAACCTCAAGTTCCCTCATGAGTTCTTGATCGGAATGAATCTACTATCATCATTAACAGCAATATACTCTGCATCGTCACCAACAATACAATCCTAATAGTTTCGGATCCTTAACCCAATACCTGCCAAACTACAAGGCTACCAGTGATAGCATATAAATGTGTATCAGCCTGAGCAAATCATTCACTACCTTAGAACATATGGTTACATACATGCATTGTGCAAAATTAACACAAAGTAGAATAACTTTTTTGATTTTTTACTCACACTAGCAAAATTTATGTAAGATCAACTCACTGTACAGGAGATATTCAAGTTATTGTAATTTATCATATTACATACCAAGGCCCAATTCATCCTCAATGTCATCCCCATCTTCAAACAGCTTCAAAAACCGAGCTTGTTCTTTTTCTCTCCTCTTCTTTTGCCAGTACCTATATGCTGCCACCCCTCCGACTATCAGTACAGTTGAAGCAAGTACTGTGATAAGTATTATTACACCGACATTCCACCCCTCTGCTCCACGTGGTGTGCTAGAGGCTGTATTGGAAGCGATAAACACATCAAACAAAATGATTATAATAATTTCAAAAAGAAAAATAGCCATCATATGCCTGCTTATCCATCCAATTTAGGGAACAAGTCATGAATTATGGGATTTTCACACAAAAAGAAATTTAATTTGTATTTTGATACATCTTTTAAGCAATTTATTTAAGGATCAAATGCATCTACAAATTTCCAAGAAAAATGAATATGAAACCAAAAATGTAATAGCCAGGATGATCAGCTATATATCCAGATCAACCAGTAAACCATTGCACTTAGCAAAGCTATTAAAGTCTGAAACAACTAAAAATTATGCTTCCCGAAACCACTTCAAGATCCATAACCATTCGTTTTTTATGTCTTCAAAATTCATTCAACCACAAGTGTCCCCTCAGTGAAAACTCAAGTGAACTTTTTTCTTGCACTAAGAACACTCCATGTTTATCAGGTCCTTCTACATTTATGCTTATTCTTCTTCTGAAACATTTTATCTGCGCAGCTTTAGTCTTTTCAGACTGTTGTTCAAATCTATTGTCAGCTTCTTCCAAAAGACAATAGTCCATTTATATCTAGGTACTCACAGGACTTCTTAAAGAGTCATGGTCCAAGCTGGGAAAAAGAGAGATTGAAATTTCAAGGTACACTGGCATAAGGCAGAATAACTACTTTGTATGCAAATAAAAGAAACTGCATGCTCTTAAACAAACACATTGATATGGCATATGAGCTGTAAATGTCCAACATAGATCACGATGTCGAAATAGAGCAAAACTAAAAAAGAGAACACTAACTAGTAAGTTGAAAAACAAGAAACTCACAGCTTGCTTCAGACTTGCACTCCGGACACAGGAAAGTAGCCTTAAATTCCTTTTTCTTCTCTCGAACATATTTCCCCTTAGTAGCTTTAAAATCAGAAGGACAAAACTCCCACTCATCAAATACATCATCTGACTTAATCATATCCTCCTCATAAAACCCACATCGCTTGCATTTCTGGCCCGAAAAATCTGTTAGCGGCTGCAGACATGAACAACCATGTTTAAGCTTCACCAACAATTACCACACTTAATAGTAATGGGTGTTATACAATCCGAAATACAAATAAAACACAGTAAAATCCAAAGGCCCCAGCCTCTCTAATACAGTCTAGTATCATAGAAAAACCTACACAATATAATCCTATAACTATTCCAGTGCCAGTCTTAGTTTTCAATTTCCTAGACAAAAATATGCTTGTTGACCACTTGTGATAATTTCTACCAAGCTTTCACATTTTTATGACAGATAGTTTTAAAACAGAATTAAAAGTTTTAACATAACCGTAGTGAAATACTAACCTGCCAAGATTCTTCATTCTTGAAAGAATACATGTAATCTGCGCGCTTGACATCAGGCAAAATCGTCTTCTTCTCTCCTTTACACTGGAAATAAACCGTTGGTTTAGAGTCTGGCATCCATTCGTGAGTAGTATATATTTCAATCGAATCAAGCGTTACTACTGCTGTTAATACGAAACCTACCAAAAAAAAAATAATAATAATAATAATATTAGGTAAAGGAAAATGATCAATTTTCAAATTGAAACCGAAGTCGTTCAATATCTGTTTGTTTCTCGAGAAAATTACCAGGAAAGCAGTTGAGGAAAATAAAAAACACAAGGAAAACACAAGAAGCTTTGGAATTCAGCGAACTCCGAATCGACATAACGAGCTGTGTCACCATTCACTAGCTAATCAATTTTAATTGACTGATATCATAAGCCGGCTCAGATCGATCGGAGAATTAAACAGGGAGTGCACACTACGCACCTTTCCGTTCTCTGTTTCATCCAATTACGAAGAAGCGGCTTCAGGAAGCTATGGCGGGTTTTTTTCTTTTTCTTTTTTTCTTTTTTTTCTTTTTTTTTTTTTTATTCTTTTGTTTCGTGAGAGAGGGAAAGGGTAATGAGAGGGCTGACCGGTTCGCGATGCGAGTTAATGGACAGGGTGGCGCCTGTGAGACGCAGGGTGCGCATTACGCAGTGGTTAAAAGGTCTTGCCACGTCGTGCGGGACTTGAAATATGAGTGACGTGTTGCCAAGCACAGTTGGCAGTTAGGGAACGGCTTAGTCTCTGACAACATAATCAACATGTGAAACATATTTTTATTTTTTTAATAATTGAATAAATAATAATGCATTTTTTATAAGAAGAAGATGTTTCTAAATTTACATAAAATAAAATTCAAGCATTTATATTTAAATACAAAACTACTCCAGAGTCGAGATGAAGCCCATTTTCTCGAGCTGTCTGAAGTCTGAACCAATTTTTTTGTAATTTTTATTGGGCCGGGTCGACCGACAAGTATAGGGATAGGCTAAATTCGAAAGTTGTGCTTTTAGAGTCCAATTAAGTAGGGACCGCATTGCCCAAAACGGACAACTATATATAATGTTTTTAAGAAATTAAAAGTAAACTTTCGCTCAAAGATATGTTTGATTGAGGGTTTATGAAACAAATTTTAGTAATAATGTTAAGAATTAAATTAAAAAATCAGATATAAATATTTTTTTTATCATTGATATTATATTTAAGTTATTGCGAGCTGTCACTGTGTTTGTGAGAAGAGTTTATTAGCTTAGTATTACTTACCCCTCTTTCTTTATTTCACATATTTGTTTTATTAACCCAATTTCTATATTTTTTTTCTTATATTAAATCACTAAAGAATGATATGATTTTATTCTTAAAGATCGAGTAAAATCCACGAAGATGAAATATAAATTTATTGGGTGATAAAAAAATATATATATATGAATCGGTAAAAAAAAAATTATAGTTAAAAAAAATATTGTTGATCACCTAACAATACATTGTCCCACATTAAATAGATGAGGTGAAAAACCAATTTCATGTAAGTTTTTCACCTTTCAATACATGTGGCTTCCCTCAAATTGCGGTGCTCCATGGAGTACATATAGAAGCTGTGTTAGGATTAAATCCCTTCTTCAACCTCATTCTCCACCATGCCGCTGCTCTCGGATCCTGACAGTGGCTAGCTGAAGTCGCAAAACCATCATCAATCAAAATCATTTCATTACAACTATCGTTCAAGCCACCAATGTCGTCGCTAACATTCCAAAATATTATAATATCCACCTTCATATTATATCTCCTCGTCTTCACCGTCGCCACCAAGGCACACGAAGATGAGGAGCTAATGAAACAAGAGTTTCTCGACGCGCACAACAATATCAGGGAACACATGGGCGAGCCACCTTTGAATTGGGACGAGGAGTTAGCTAAGTGTGCACAAAATTGGGCCAACGCTCTCTCGGGGGACTGCAACATGATACATTCTAATGGACCCTACGGAGAGAACTTGTTCTGGGGAGGGTATGACCATTGGACGCCTACAGAAGTGGTGCAGTCATGGGCCAGTGAGTCGCAGTATTTTGATGATAAAGGAAATACATGCAGCGAAGGCCAAATGTGCGGACATTACACGCAGGTCATATGGAGAAAAACTTGTAGGATTGGCTGTGCACGTCAGAAGTGCAACAATGGAGGTGTGATTGTCATCTGCAACTATGATCCACCTGGGAATTATGAACATGAAAATCCATTATATGAAACAAATTAACCAGTAAAGGAGCTCATACTACAATCAAGAGGAGAGTTCAATGATGGGTTGGGTTTGTTTTAATAATACGGAAAAATCTTTCATTCATTAATTGTTTTTTCATTTTTTTCATATTATGACAGTAAGGTTTAATTGTAATATTGTGAAACACCTGGTCTGGCTTTAGCCTATATGTCTCCCTTTAACCATATTTTCAATGTTTAATTATAAGACCATAATACTTCTGGAATTTTCGCTTGATCATTGATTTTTTGTAATTTCATTTTTGTGTAGAATATTAGCTTTTCCTGTTCATTTAAACCCAGAAATCTAGGCAAGGGTAAGTCTGGTTTATGATATTTCTCATATCTGTATCCATGTTGTTATTCTGATAATTTTTTAACAGTTTTGGTTCAACGTGGGGCTGCAAATCGGCAGAGCAATGTGATGTGTGCAATATGATATAACTTCTCTGGTGTCAACCCCTTTGAAATTGGGAAAAGCCTGCCTTAGATGGACTCAAATTCTTCGTGTTTGCATTGTTCACGTTTTAGCCTTTTAGGGCTCAATTTCCATCTCTCATTGACCATAATAGTTAAATATTTGAACCATTTGTATTGATGTTTGATTTTAACACCAACGACTTTGCATATGTAAAGTGTTAAGAAATCACTTGTAAGTAGATTATGGAAGTGTTTATGATACAGTGATAATATATGTTTGAAAAAATATAAATAAAAGATTGACGAGAGAGATTTTTATAGTGGTTTAGATGCTTGAAGCAAATCCTACACCCACTGTAATTCTATTATTCTCTGACTATTTTTTTATATTGTCTGTAAAGTGTACAAAGATTGAGTAATATTTTGTTTACAAAGAAAAATAATGGTTGAAGCTCGAATTTGTGTCCAGCTCTCATATGCCCAGCCCCCCTTTGCATGAAGAAATGTGTCTATTTATACCTTTGAGCTCAATGTAATAAGTGATTTTGTAAGTTGTGGGGACACGTGGAGACGCCTCTCCAATCCTTATCTTAAAATCGGATAAAGAGCTTGAATTATGCCTAGCATGATCGGGTGTTGAGATCTTGATCTATTATAATGATCTGAGATCTAGGACTGCACTCTAAGAGATAGGAGCACCCTGATAGCTAAGAGCTGATCGCAATATGAGAACTGGGAGCTGATTGCAATCTGATCACTAACGTAAAACATCTAGAAGAAAATAAATCCCTGGAGAGAGCTAAGCGTCAAAAGCCCAAACGCACGATTCAAAGGTCCTAAACGGACATGCTAACTTAAAACAGCCATAACTTTTTTATCCGAAAAGAGTTTTGGAGCCTGTAAGATATCAATAGAAAGCTCGTTTTGAGCTCTATGTCGTGGCAATTGAGGGTCATTTTCGGGGCCAAAATCCACTGTTTTGACATGTTTTGAGGCTGTTTTAAGTTTTCTACATGTTTTTTTTATGTTGATAGCTGATCGCGATCTGAGAACTGAGAACTAATCGCAATCTAAAAGCTAAGAACACGATCTAAGGTTGTTCGCAATCTCAGAACTGAGAGTTGATTGCAATTTGAGAGCTAGGAGTTGATCGCGATGTGACAAAGGCTCGATTTGAGAGCTAGAGGCGTGCAATCTATAACGCACAATCTCGGGATAAGGAGCTTGATCTGGACCACGCGATCTGAACGATCGAAGGTGCGCGATCTCAAGCGAATGAGTGAGCTTATGAGCTCAATTAGAGAGCATAAAGAGCTTTGATTTGAGAACTCAAGAGCTCTTTGTGATCTGAGAGCTTAAGAACTTTTTGCGATCTGAGAGCATAAAGAGTTCGATCAGAAAACATAGAGCATAAGGAGTTCGATTAGAAAGCATAGAGATTTATCTAAGAACACGAGAAATTCGATCAGAAAGCGCAAGGCTTGATCTGAGAACACAAAAAGTTCGATCAGAAAATGCGGGGCTTGATCTGAGAACACAAGAAGTTTGATCAGAAAGCACAGGGCCTGATCTGAGAACACAAGAAGTTCTATCAAAAAGTGCGGAACTTGATCTGAGAATACAAGAAGTTCAATCAGAAAGTGCGGGGCTTGATCTAAGAACACAAGATTTGAAGGATCTTAGCGATCTGAGTGCCCATAAGCATGTGATCTGGGCTCTCAGAAGCGTGTGATTTGGGCGCTCGGAAGCGTGATCTGGGTACTCGGACGCACGATTTAGGCACTCGAAAGCACACGATTTGGGCGTTTGGAAGCACGGAATCTAATAGATCTAATGTGTGTGATCTAAAAGCTCTAATGCGCATGATCTGAGAGCTTTGATGCACACGATTTGAGAGCTCTGATCCAGAATAGGCTTTAGTATTTTGACGATAACTTGAGCTGTAGACCTTGGATTTGGATGATTCTTAGACCATCGAAAAGATAACTCAAAGGGCTACAATTCTTATGTTTGTGGCTTCTTCAGATTCATATTTTATCATGCTCAAATTTCCACATCTAATAACGTGATTCTAGAAAAAGAAGTTGAAATTTGCTGAAGAAGTCGAAACTTGCTAAAAGAAGTTGAGATTTGCTGGAAAAACATGGAGAGCTTATGTGAATCATGCCCTCTTTCTAGTGTCAAACTGTTGATGCTTGATTTTGACACCAACGACTTTACATGTGTAAAGTGCTTAGAAATCACATGTGAGTAGATTATGGGAGTGTTTACGATGCTGTGATAATATATGTTTGAAGAAACAAAAATAAAAGATTGACAAGAGATATTTTTATAGCAGTTTGGATGCTTGAAGCAAATCCTACATCCACTGTGATTTTATTATTCTCTGACTATTTTTCTAATATCACTTGTAAGGCGGACAAAGATGGAGTAATGCTTTGTTTATAGAGAAAAATAATGGTTGAAGCTCGAATTTGTGTCTAGCTCTCATACATCCAGCCCCCTCTTCATGAAGAGAAGTGCCTATTTATACATTTGAGTTCAATGTAATAACTGTTTTTACAAGTTGTTGAGACCCCTCTCTAATCCTTATCTTAAAATGAGATATGATTGATATAAATACGCTTAATAACAACTTAGGTCGGTTTGGTTTTGACACTAATGGGTGCGTTTGGTTTATTATTTTGAATAGGATTTTAGGAATAATATTGGGTAGTTGGATATGAGAGTATTACGAGGTAAAATTTAAAAATTTATGAAAAAACCCTTAGGTTTGCTAATTTAATTAAACACCCTAATGTATAAAACGACAAAAACACTCCAACCACCTGCAGTGCCAGATTCCAGCCACCACCGCCGAAA